GGAAAGCACCCAGGGGCGGCGAGTACCGATTCTAGGCAGGCACCCGCGGGCTGTAGGTACCGACTCTAGGGAAGCACCCAAGGGGGGGGGCAGGTACCAATGTGGGGGGGGGGGTCCTTGCGGTGGGCGTCGTGCGTGGCTGCCTGGCCGCCGCTGGATGTTGTACGCCGCCGGCTGCCGCTGTCACACCCTCCCACAAGAGCGAATTTATCATGAGGGGCCCATTGGTCAGCATACGAGCCCGATGATGTTAGCGCATGGCTCGGCACGTTGTGGCTCCGGTACACCCGACACCAACACACACTCATGTGAGCCACAGAGCTAGGATGAAGCGGGTGACCGGGGCATTGGCGGGATGGTGGATTCGGTCAGGCACCTTGAACGGCGGTCCCCCCGCCCATGGCCGTGTGCCCTTAATCACGGTACCCCGCCTCCACCCTTCAGCTTGAGATAATATTTAAATGGGGCAAAAACGGCATCGCGTGCATACTAATACGCCCAACTGGCAAGGGTCCCACGCACAGGCAAATTATATTGGCAAGAGCCCACTGGGTAATGGCCCTGGGACCTCCCCCCCCCCCCCTCCCCCCTCCCCGGCCTTAACTAATCCACGCAGACTCCATGCACTCGGCGCCCCATCACACTCATTCCAAACATTCTCATACACTGGCGTCCACGTCATCCCATTCATCCTTGGCACGCATACGGGTCCCCCCCCCCCCTTTCCTGCGCCTTGGCACTATAATTGGCTCGTCCGCGTGGGTCCTCGTTAAGTTAAGTTTAATTCATTTATCACATTTCGACCTGTCCATAAAGCCACGTTTAAGCCCCGTTCAAAGTGTATCACGTTGATTTGCCAGCTTGACACCGACGCAGCTGCTGGGCCGACACCGAGTGCCCGAAGCTGAACGGCGACTCGTTCCCTCGCCTGACCTCCAGAGTGACGGCTCCCTATTTGGACGACGCTCCCCACGTTCCATCCACGATGGGCGGCCCACCATTCGCACGGCCTTGCCCACTGCTCGCAGCTTCCCGCAGCCGCGCATGCGCCTTAGGCAGTGCCTCGTCCAGCACGGAGGCGTCGCCTCCGGCACCTCTGCGCACTCGCCTCGCGCCCGCCGGAGCAGGCTTTGCAAGGTACCGCCCCACGGCGCGCCCCTCAGAGGCCTGGGGGTACACAGCGCGCTCTATGGGACGGTGGAGCCCCTCGGCAGACGACGAGCGCCCGGCGCGACCTGCGCCCACGCCTTACGGCCTCCTCGGCCGGCGCGCTCTGGAGACCCGGTCTGACCGGCCTGTCCGGCGAGCTGATTCCTCGTCGCCCTCCCTATGAGCGTCGATGGCGGGATCTCTATCCGTCCCGAACATCCCGTCGCCAATCGCTCATAAGGCCCAGCGTACACCACGCCGGAAGAGAGCAGACTGACTTCCATCCTCTCCGAGGCGGAGATACCACGGATAGACTCCGCTACCGCCGTGCACAATCAAGCATCTCGGGCGGCCCCACGGATCCAAGGTCACATCATGACCAATGCCTCTTTATGCCGTCACGCCTGGGGCCAAGTGGGAAACAATAAAACGAGTCAGCCGCCTCCGAAAAAGAGCGAAACTGTGTCTTGAGCCGCGCTACCCACAAACGTGTATCTGCGTAAAAGCAGGACTACGGTCGTCTGGCTCCTCGTCCTTGTCGTAGCCCCGCCGGGCTGCCCGCTTGCCGGCGGGCCAGGAGCAGTGGATTGCTCCGTCCGTCCACACCGCAAGAGACTGTCGTCTGCCGGCGGGTCGCGGCTGCCCGCGCCGCCATCGCACACCACCGGGTGCTGCCCTCTACCGCGATTGCCCATGTCGACTGACAGATGGCGTACGTGCCTCTTTCCGAACGCCGTCCCGATCGACGCCCCGCGAGTAACCCTCCCCGGTCTCACAGAATTGCGCGCGATCCCCCGAGATGCAGCGGGCTCGGTGCACCTCTCCGCTATGCCTCAACACCCTGGCAGGCGGTCTCCCTTCGACCTCTAGCCAACATCCCGGGATCATGTCCGGTTCGGAAAATTCGACGCCGTTCTCCCCTACACCGAACCTCCGGCGTCCGTATCGGATCCCTCTCCGACGAGATGGCCCTTCACTAACCAAACGTGAACCCCGTGCATCATTTGGCCGGAGAGCGATCCAGGCCTAGCGAAGCGGAGAGGAAGGTATAATCCGAACAATACACGCGCTCGCTGAGGGAATCCATGTAGCGCATGCGCTGGGCGGAGCTAGACCGCGCTAACCTATTTAACAGCGACGCGAGCGGAAAGAAAAGAAAACATTAATAAAGAGGAGGTTAACGGCAAAAAAACAACAAAGCAGAACACACAAAAAAACGGCCATGGACCTCACCCACGCGCGGATACCTCACTGGCCCAGCCGATCTATTGGGTGGACGGGTGATCAAGCGAAGGAGATGGAGGAGCATGCACATAACGAATTGTGAACAGGCGCACCCGGGCGGAGCTTGGTAAGAGCTCGGTGTCCCGCAACGGATCAAGGGGAGAGATGGAATGCGAGCGACCAACTGAACGGGAAGTGAGCCATGCGCGGGCATCCGGCAATGCCATCCCGTCTGTCCACCCGGCAAGGCGATCAAATGGATGACAAAAGGGCAGCGCGATTGTGAGCGGATCGCGCATGCGCATCGCCTGTGCTCCGGTGGGAATTCGGCGTCTCAAAAAAAGACAAGACGTCCACAAAAGGACGCGCCCACACTAGCGACAACGGGAGCGGAAAACTAACCGCCCAGTTGGCGTGGAAAACGCACCTTGGTCTGTGCGCAAGTCCCACGAGACTGCGCAGTACACCGGCCTATGCAAAGCGACCGACGACGAGTGGGAAGAGGGCAGCGTGGTCGTGGCGAGAAGCCGAGCATGCGCACTGGATCGAACCCGTGAAGGTCCGGCCACCTCGTACTTTTGACAAACAAACAACGAATGGAGCAATATGAGGCGAGTTGTCCACCTGATCCACGTTCTACCACTATTGCATGTCGGCGCGACTCGTACGCCGCGCCTGGCCGCGACGACGGCCTGGTGAGGGCTCAGACAAGCCGCAGCGCTTCTCATGGCCTTCTCCACCGGCAACTCCGGATAGCTACGGGGCGTGCCAACGAGCGGGCCGCTGCGCCCAAGCATACATCCAGGGCTCCGGACACAGCACCGCCCAACGCCGGGCCGAGTGTCCTCTCGCCGCCCGAGCTAACCTCATCCAGCCTCGCTCCCTCGCTAAAGCATCGCAATGCAAGCCGTCATCTGCATCCACACACAAAGACAACGAGACAAAAATCACTCGCACACTGCGACACACCAGTCCATCGCTTCAGGCGGGCTCAGCGTCGAGCCGCGCGGCACCTTACGCAGTAACGCACCCGAGCCCCTCCGTCTTTCCCCGGCTCCGCAGGAGGGATCCGGTAACCGCGGCTTGAGCCGCCCGGCGGGGAGCGGGGTGAAGGGCACGCTCGGAACGCCAGCCGTCCATGGCCCGGTGGGATGGGAGGGGGGGGGGGGGTCAACAGCCTGGGCACTCACATCGTGTGCGCCGTCGTCGGTGACCGTCGTACGCCGTGTCGAATATCACAGCCGGGTGCTGTGAGCTGGGGCCTCGGAGGAGGGTCGACCTCAATATACCGCTGAAGGCGTCGGGCGCACTCACTGACACTGTACTGTACATCGGGAGCCTCTCGCATAATACTTTATTGACTTTCGACACCACTCATCTGGTTCGGCCCGCCTTCGTCGTCTTGCGTGATCCAATGGGTTTGGCGCCTCGCCCCCTCCGTCCAATGCGTCGCCGGGCCGGCATGCACCTCTCCCAGAGTCCGGCCCTCGACGTGCCCCTAGGCCAGATCTTGGGCGTGGCGTCGCTGGCGACGACGAAAGGCGGGTCTCGCCTCGGGCGGGCCCTGCGCGTCCCCCTCTGGCCCAGTTCCCACGTGGCGTGGCTCTTCTCATGGCATCTAGGGCGACGGTGGCGCCGGCGCGGCGGGGGTTGCTGGGGCGAAATAGCAAACAGCCTCACATGTTAGTTGTGCGTTCCTGTGTGTATGTTGTTTCGCCGATCGCCCGCTCTCGCCTCCATTCCTCTTGGCGCGATGAACGATTTTGGCAGGTGGGGCCGCCGTCATGGCTGTTCTGAGAGAAGCACCTGGCGTTGTTTTGACGACGTGAGCTGATCGGCGGGATCGTCGAACCGAGCTGCATTTATCTCTCGGCCTGATGGACGTGTCTGTTCGCGGGGGAAGCCCTCGACCACGGCCGGCTGGTTCGCTTTCCCACGTTTTGCGCGCGAAACATCTCTGGTCCCGGACGGGTGGCGCGCAAAACGACGAGGCATGAAAATGTGCGCCTACACCAACTTTAAGGACTCACCCAGGGGCGGCGCCACCACGGGCAAGGGCCAGTCGCCTTTGGCCGTTTGCCAGGAGGGAACATGTCTTTTAGTTGCCCTTGGAATTTATGAACCGACAGGAGGTGAGAGATGACCGATATATGCATTGCGTGTTCCATGGTCTGGATGGTTATATGCACTGTGCCGATAAAATCTTCGCAATTGCACCGAGACATTCCAACCGATGGTACAGCGCACATAGCAATGATCAATTGCAAAATGTCATTTACGAAACGCAAGCATTCTCATCCATTTTTACTCAAATATCGCAGCGAGGGTTCTTTTATCTCGTCCCCCTATCCAAAATCGAAAACGTCGCCCCTGTTTGCGATTAGCATGATGACACGACAGACGTGAGGAATCTAGAGCTGGCAAACCAACAGGTACATACGCTTTCCACAATCTAACCCTTACCATGGTATTACAGGGGTAGTCATGCTACAGTTTGTTTGGCACCATGATGATGATGATAATGATGAATATGTATATTATATATATGTATGCATGTACATATACATAAAAGTGGAGTTGTCTTTAAGGAGGTGCTGTCGTTTGCTCTAATACTGCGATATTTTCAGGATCAGTCATATCTAGCGGGGCCTGAAGCGACAAGCATTGCTGGCTCCATTGTACACGATTCTCATTTTACAAAGAGTGATGAAGAGGTGAGATATCGAGAAAATCAGGTGCTCCAAATGGGGACAGTTCATCTGGTAACATGCCTTCTGCTTGTTCTTCCGCCAAGCTTGCATGTAAGTGCGTGCCGAGTGGCAATGCAAATCGCTTCACTCCGTTATCAATTGTTGTGTTTTGGAATTGTCCACTGCCGAGTGTGATTTACATGTGAAGGTACTCAGAGAAAATGTTTGTTGCCAGGAGCATTACTTGCTTTCATCACCCTGCAGGCTCATACATCTGAAACGGCATAATCCAACCTGCCTGATCAGTTCTTGTCATCGACGAATCGCACAGATTCTTGAAACATCATCGCCCTCACATGGGTATGCTCGACAGATTTACAAAACACACGGTTGTTGTTATGTTGTTGTTATGTTTGTATGTTGTTAGTTATGTTTGCTTTGCAGCATTCACATTGAAACATTTAAGGTGTGCTCAACAGAATGTGTGCAATGTCCTCTTCTCGTCCATCTATGTCAACACGTTTGCTGGTGTTTTTTTTTTTTTGCTTCGAATCTGGATCTATGCAGGAGATAAACGTTAGTTTCCTTGCATACCCTGTATTTACAATCCCAAACATAAGACACTGCCTAATGGATGCATTAATCGATGGTGATACACCAATAACGGAAAGTGAGTGAGCGAAAGAAAATAACCAATCCAGCGTAGGAGACGTATTTCGTCAAAGTATTTTGTAAACGTGTTGTCGTTTTATGTTTTTCCTTATTTTTAGACCTTTCATCAGCTTTCTTTTTTTCAAATTTCCATCAACTTTCCCACGCGCGTAGGTGCAAGTCAAGGGTGCATGAACAGAGGCTCGTTCATTGCTTAGAGAATTAACTGTAACTACACGCCACTGCATGAAAAGAATCGATTTTGTGGAACGGGCTGATCCACCCACTTTTACGGTTGTTCCTCACCCTAGCATCCCATGGATCAATCACGTCCTAGCAAAACTGTCTTTTTTGTAAGCTTGTATTTTTTGGCTTGTCATGACATATTTTGGTCAATTGTAAAGCGAGGTGACCATTTGCAAAGATATGCAGTTCGATTGTGTTCTGGAATGTCTTGGTCGCCCTTCATCTATTGTCTATCTGCGTGGAATAAGGCCTACATGCTACGTAGCCTCTGTACAATATCAACCCAAAAGATAACTCGCTGACATTCCGGTTAAAAGTGCTTACACAGTCATTGGGCTACCAACCGACGTGCATACCCCCCACCTTACGCTCTGTATTCCTGCTTCGTCGCCAGTTTTGCTGGTATTCGCTTTAAGCACCCGCCCGTGACCAGGCGAGGTGCGACAAACTAAACAGCACGACATCATCCACTCACCGACGTAGTGTCTGCTCTAAGCATTTCTCGCTGTTCCGCACTGTTCAAGTGCTATGAACATCCACGCTCCCCCGCGTCGCAGCAGCAGCAATACTGCTTCAGCGCGACTCAAACTATTTCAGTGGCGCTTGTTTGTTTCAGAGTTTCCTGTTCCCACTCAAAGATGGCGCCAAGTGTAAGGACTAACGCGGACTGCGTGTCGCTGTCATTGCCGCGCGGCTGCTGCCTGATGACAGGAATGGAGCATGGCCAGCCCGTGGGTCGCTGTCAGCCTATCTCCAGACTAGGTCAGCTCCAGCACAGACACTAGATCAACTCCGAAACAGACGCTGGATCAGCTCCGGCATAGACGCGGATCAGTCCGACTCAGGCGCTGGGCCGCTCCAAAAGACATTGGGGCGCCTCCGTCACAGATATAGGTTCAGCTCCGGCACAAACATAGGGTCACCTCTGACACAGACATAGGGTCAGCTCCTGCACAGACATGGGGTCAGCTCCATCACAGACATAGGGTCAGCTCCGGCACAGACATGGGATCACCTCCGGCACAGACATAGGGTCAGCTTCTGCACAGACATGGGGTCAGCTCCGGCACAGACACAGGGTCAGCTCCGGCACAGTCATAGGGTCAGCTCCGTCACAGACATGGGGTCAGCTCTGGCGCAAACATATGGTCAGCTCTGACACAAACAAAGGGTGAGCTCTGACACGGCAATAAAGTCAGCTCCGGCGCAAACATAGGGTCACCTCTGACACAGACATACGGTCAGCCCCCGCACAGACATAGGGTCAGCTCCGGCACAGACATAAGGTCAGCTCTGGCACAGACATAGGGTCACCTCTGGCGCAGACATATGGTTAGCTCCGGCACAGATACTTCGCCAGCTCCAGTCTATATTTATTAAGGCATTGTATGTGCCTATCCCGTAACAATATCGGAATCCATACTTATGAGGCGCAGCGATGCCTGTTTAGAAGTCCACCGTTCTTACTCGTACTAAACCATTACCGGCTGACGGTCTCGTTGTACCAAATTGCCTTATCCCCAGCCAGTGCCGTCGTCATTGAGGCTTTATGACGCACGCAGCTGCTGAGGCTATATGGCGCCGTCCGCCCCTTACCCTGGCCAGCACCGTGGGGAATCGAACCCCGTACCTCAAGTTTCCCAGACGCTCAGCTTAACCACTACACTATGGGTATTCCATCCCCGCTCAGTGCCTCGTATCTCTAGGATCGGTTTACTAAAACTGAATACTTAGGTTTTGATACATCGGCACAGGCTGAGGTTATGACGTTAAGAGGTGCGGCCTTTCAAAACGGCTGGAGAGGAGCCGACCTGCCCCGGGTCGGTTGCCCTAGTCTGCCCAAAATTTTGGTCCCAGATACTATTTTGGTTCGCATTTGAGTCACTTTATTTTGCCGCGTGAATTTTGCAACAGTCTGGTGTCTAACGCCGTGGGGTTACCTTTCAAGTGGTGAGGGCTGGGCTGAGCTGCAAATTGGGGGGGGGGGGGAGAGAACTCCCATCTTATTATTTTCAAAATTCATGCCCCGTGAGGATGATTTTTTCTCTCAAACGGCCCTTGTATCATGTGTGCCCGCACACTCGGAGCTCTGCTGATATTTGGGCAGTGAGTGATCCCGTTCGAGCTCTTTGCAGTGCTGTTTAGGTCCGTGTCTACCTTCATGTCGATTACGTATATGTAGAATAGCCGCCTATCTGTCATGGGACAGTTTTGCGTCGGCGAGGAATGTGGGTAGAGGACACCGCTTTGGGGTCTTCTACAGTTATTCAGGCAGTCAAGAACCGTGATACATTCGATGATTCGTGCGTACGGTGAAGAATAAAGGGCACAAACAATGGGGCCAATGACCCGTCTCAGCTCCAGCCCCACACCACCACACCACGAAGTGTTCATCGACCGTTCTGGGCCAGCACCAAATGTGATGCATATTTCAGCATTCACATCAGCCTCAGGGGCTCAGGGGCTGGCAAGGCAGCATTGCCACGCTCCGCGTGTTTCCATGACTTACGGGCTTGGTGCGTGTGTGTTTAGCTCCGGTTGTTCCAGGAGAGTACTGCGCTCCCGGCGACCGCCTCCGGCGCATCTCCGGCTACTCCATCTACACGTTCTGGTGTCCCTGTGACGTGGGGCTCATCTGCCGTGCTGCCAAATACACTCAGCTGCCATCGCGGGTACGTGAGAGGCGGTTAGCAAGGGCTCTGTCGCGAGGTCCGGCGCGGCTCTGAACGAAAGCTGGCTTTCTCCCCAATCTCCCACATCCTTTTTCGCTACATCCACCTCTGTTGGGGTTGGAGATGAGACGGGTCATCGGCCCCATTGTTCGTGCCCTTCATCCTTCGTTGTGCACATGAATCCTCGACTATATCACGGTTCTTGACTGCCTGAATAACCGTACATACTGACATGTGTGCAGCGATCCACATTGATGCAGTGTCAACAATATCCGCCGCGTGCAATGATCTGCACCTGTCAGTATGGTCTTCAACATTAATCACACAGCTTATATCCCTCCTTTTCAGATGGGTGCCTACTTTGACCCGCAGTGCGTGCCGGAGGACTTTCCTGATTACGCAACAGCACGGCCGCTGACCAATGACCTTGACCTGGGCGTGACTGTAGTGTGACCCACCCAGTGAACGTCTTCGTGCCGACCTGAGGGAACTAAAGTACAGCAAAGGCCTGCCCTTCGCAGGCAAGGTTGATTCTACATTTGGCTGAAGATGTTGTCTTTGACGTCGCAGATGGCACTACTTTACGTTACAAGTTACGTTAGTTACGTCGCAACAGTTTGGCACATTGGACCCGCAGTCGTTCAGTTGAGTAGCTGCCTGTTACTCATAGGAAGCAATATCAGGTAACTACCCTGCCGATGAAAAAACGGGCGTCAGGCGGCAGCTATGGCATCAGGTGTAAATCGATCTGTTCTGGCAGCACGCAGCTAACGATGTCAAGGGATTTTTTAGTGTTCACGAGATTGTACCGGTGTCGAGCCGTATACCGCGTAGTGATATGGAAACATGCTAAGCTGTTTGACTGATAGGTAAGTGAAATGCATAAGTGCTTTAACTTCGCATGCTTAAAGTATGTTACCTCACTGATATTGTTAGACGCAAAAGCATTGTGCAAAAACTCCTTTGACTTCAAAGATAGTTTTAGTCAGCTGAGGAAGTCCATTGCGCTATAACAACCGAGCTTTCGCGCTATTGCAAGATGAAGTTCTTGCTGTTTATTTTGAATATCATGCCATGCCGTTGTATGTGTTTCTATTGGTTGTACGCCTATGTCATCTATGACACAGCAACGCAGTGAAAAATTCACCCGTCCTTTACAACAGAAATGTTATTTTATATCCTTGGGCTTACTAAATTATAAATGATGGTGGAATACATGTGGTCTAAAAAGCCTACCTGACTTTTAAAACATGTTATCATAACATTTCAAGTTTTCTTTAAGTTTCTAGGTATAGAACACACACAGACGACTATCTGGATCGAATCCACGGTTTACGCTTTTGGCAGTACAGTTCTATTGCGTAGGTACACGACAAAGGAACCCAGGCATCCCGAGCCCGAATGTCAACGACAGGCCATATCTGCCGCTGCTACTCTCATGTCATCAGCTATCTCGACCGTGCCACTCCATCCAACGACACCTGCATAAGGCAGCATCAACTTTGCACAACCCTGACCTCAGCAGCTCAGCTCGCTAGCTCAACTGCGGCTTAGGTCGCCGCACCTCGCCAGAACGGCCCGCGCGGCACGTGCCGCGAGCTCCACAGGTGGCTCGCACGGCTGCCGACCGGCGCCCACGCGGCGGACGGCGTCGGAGCCTCTCCGAACGGCCGCACCGGGGAACACCCAGTGCTGCCACCTGCTGCGAATGGTGTATTGAGCTAGCTGAGTGACAGCAATCAACACTCAAACCTATCTTGGTTTGAGTGTTGATCGTCGCACGCAAAAACGACCTGTCCAGTGCGACGGCCGAAGACGGGGCGGCGCCGGAGCAGAGAGCAGCGGATGCACCTCTGCCTCGTCATGAATCGACGCGTCCGAGCGTCTGCCGCCAGTAACGCCGCGCCGCCAAACAGCCCGTCGCGGCGCAAACAAATCAGCGTCCCGCCTGCAGTCAGCACCGAGCGTCGGCGGCGGGCGGCGTCAATACGCGGCGAGCTGCCGGCCGCGCCTCGGCGGCGTCCGGCGACGGCCGAGCCGGCGCGGCGCCGCGGCGGCACCGATCCGGTCCGGTCGGCTGCAGCAGGTGGGGCGCGCCGAGCTGCTCCGCTCACCTGGCCTCCTCCGCCTCCGCCGCCGCCTGCCGGCCGGGGGCGCGCGCCGGTCGATACCGGCCGGCCGGTGGGTCGGTCGGCGCTTGCGGCGGTGGTCCGCGCGCGCCTCGGTCGGATCCTCCTCTCGGCCGCGGGCCGGGAAGCAGAGCGGCCAACCTCTCAGCACCTATTAAAGGCCGTTGCCGGCGGGAGGGGCCGGCTCTGGGCCGCAGATACACTATGTCATAGGCGGCGCGGGCTGCAATGTTCAGCCCTGCTGCCGGCCGCAGCGGCGCCGCACACCGCAGATGACGCCGCACAGCGTGATGAAACTGATCAGCGAGCCGAGCACCGCTCCCACGGCTGTCCAGTTGCCGTGGGTCAAGGTCACTTCAGGGCCTGACGTCGAGCTGGCGGCCGCTGCCAGCGTGGTGCCGATGGCGGAGGGCGCAGCGCCGCCGCCCGCTCCAGACTTGCTCCCGCCTGAACCGCCCACGCCGACCGCTCCTGGACCGCTCCTGCCCGCTCCTGAGGCGCCGCCGTCCGGCTCGAGCTGACTGCTAACTGGTCCGGGTCTACTTCCCCCTGCTGCTGCTCCCGTGCCCGAGTGGCCGGTCGCTTGGTGGTCGAACTCTTCGCCGGGTAAGGTGGGCTCCTCCTGTAGGGCTGGCGTCCTGGCCGGCTGCCCCACGGCGACGGTGACATGCTCCTTCTCGCGTTTGCTTTCTGAGGACAGAGCGTCGGCACTTAGATGTACAGTTATCAGACTCAGCACACGGTGAGACAAGTGTGATCATAATTCGGAGATTCCAGAAATGTACGGCAGCTTCCGAAAGTACAACACGAAAATACAAGCGTTGAAGCGGCTCTATTTGTTGGGTGATGCCTGCAGTGGTGGTCACCCGCATACACAGGAAACGCATACTTCCCTTACATGATGCCAGCTCCCGATGCAACACGAGATTTCCCACGCAGCACAAAGGACATGGAAGATCACAGTATCTCTGCATTTCTCATTTCTGGCCATGATTCGAGCGCCCCCGCCGCGCCGATTCATTCGAGTCAGCTCAGTATGGCGCTCACGCGTGCGAAATGCTAGCGGCCGGGACGCCGCAAACCCGGCTGCATTGACGAAGACCAGTTGCACGGCGTAGGAGCTGTTTGGCCGGAGTGGGCCGTTGCAGAAAGTGTCGTTCTTGACGCCTGGCTTTAAAGGGCACGTCAGGCTGGCGCCCAAAATAAACTGCTCCTGACTGTCTGTGAAGGGAAGAGGAGGAAGGAGAGGAATAGGGATGCTGCGAGTAAGTTAAGGACTAGTTATATGTCTATGACGCGAACAGAAGTCACTAAATCGATTCCATGCCATTAACTTATGAACATCTACAGAGACAGTTGTATGAGCTGTACCAGCGATGTTACTAAACCCGACTCCATGTGCTACGACCCAGAAGTGCCACAAGCGGGGGTGAAGATAATATCACACATTTCGTTTGTGTCTATAACTAACTAGAGTAGAGAGTAGTATTAGCCTCATTCCCCGGAGAAAAAGCAGGAGAATGGAGACATAAATGTGTTGATATCTCAGCAACATGCCTTTATCGAAACAATAGCAGAAGTCAATTCAAAATTGCCTGTCGATGATCTTACTCGATTTTTCAGGTTTTTTCAAACAGTGGGCCACAGGTTTCACAGGACACGGACATTTAAGCGATTAAACAAAGAGCAATGGCCAGCCATTACTACCGATACAGTTTATGTCTAATTAAGAATTCGAATACACAAAAATGCGTGTAAATACGAACGACTTCAGGGCAACAGACATCACGCATCACGCTTCATTCAAACATGCAAGCGAGATGAATTAAACAGGCATCGCACATTAGACATCAGTTACTCATGCAAACGACTTCAGTTAAACAGGCATCGCACATCACGCGTCAGGCAGGGGGAGCTACAATCGCTTTTGAACTAGGGTGAGAATGAAAAATTCCATCGCAAAAAGCCCATGCAGGAATGAAAAAATCAATTTAAAAAATATGGAACTTATGAGCTCGTTACTGATGCCTCAGCAACAAAGACATCTATTTCAAGTTGGCATGGACATAATATCAGAAACCTGACAAAACCATTTCGCTTTTTAACATCTTAGGCCATTAAAATGAAACACAATACATTGACACGCGCTGGGGTGGGGGTGGGGGGGGGGGCAAATTGAGCCCCCCCCCGAGGGCTTTTTCCGAACGGTTTCTGAAAGGTGCGGCGTAGCCACGCCAAATTTTGCACAGCTGTAGAAAATTGCATAGCGGATCGTTTGACATACATAATTTAGATGTACCTTGCAAGGTAGCTGATCTATGACAGGTCAAAGTCAGTCCATGGTTTCCGCGAATGCAATTTCCAGGGAGTCGTTCAATCTGATACAACAACGGAGTGTTTGACGAAGACGTACATCTCTGAGATACTTTCTTAGGCACCACAAATATTGAATGAACAAATTACGTTGACCTAAGGTCAGGTATGATGGTCAGACAAAGGTCAAAACCAACCTGATTTATTACTCTAGGGCTTGCTGTAGTTATTACTCTAGGGCTTGCTGTAGGGATAGTTTCTGGTGCTCATTTCGAATTTATGGACAGCAGGAACCGCATTATGCATCTTCAATTGACTTCTTAGAGGTCAGAACAGGCCATTGACCTAACATGACCCGGGTCGAACTTTTTGTTTTAGGAACATATTGCCTAGTGTAATCTTTGTCGGTTATTCAAATGCAAAACACAGATCCTTAATCAGATCACCATGACCTTGAAAGGGTCAAACAAGGTCAATGACCTCAAATGGGCTTGTGAACTTTTCTTTAGAGACAGTTGCCTAGGTCCTGGGGGCGCTTTGGAGACCAACCAGGAATTTGACCTTGTTTGACCTTATTCGACCTGAAGGTCATGACCTAGGAAGCTGAAACCTTAACCTAAGTGGGTTCACGTGTAGGTCAAGACACTATGCAAATTTGGTGTCTCTAGCTTTCTTAGTTCCCGAGATCTCACAGGGGGGGGGGGGGGGGCAAATTGACGCCCCCACCCCCACCCCCACCCCCACCCGAGCGAAGGGGATCTAGTCGGCCAACTGGAAGCGTGTTAAAGCATAGCAATTTCATAATAGTATCATGAGCATAACAAACTATTAACACCAATAACTTGATGCCGCACTTTTCAATTCCCTTCCACAGCACTTTTAAAACAAAACAAAGCAAAGGAATTCAATAACAAAATAACAACAGAAAATCCAACAAGCATAAAACACTCAAACAAAAAAACGTTGGACTCCTACACATCAGCCCACCACCAAGTCAAACAAAAAATACATGCTTCTGGCTTCTGTTAAGATGGGGTCAGGGAAAACAAACATTTTGTCGCTGTTTCTTACAAAATACCAATGCTTACTTTCATGAAATTAACCTATGCCTAGCCTAAGGAGGCCTCACATGATCTCATCCTGTATAACCTGTTCGTATCACTGCAGCAGTTATGAGTTACTGATTCTTGCACAATTCATGTTGCCACTTGCCATGCACTTGACCAACTTAACATAACTTAGAGTAATTATCTGCTGACAGCAGCACTTGTGATAAGAACATGATATTTAAAGCTAGTTTTTGACTAGTTCCACCTTGTGTTTTTATTCAGTTAACTTGTGTATGCTTGTTGACATCAGACAAAGTTGACACCACACAAATCAAAACACTTTAAATCACTTTGAACAACTTATTTTGATTGTCATGGTTAACCTATGTCAAGGGCAATAATGGGTATGCTCCACAAAACAATCTCCAAAAATAACAACTTTTAGATGACCATGCCAGTATTGCTGCTTGCCTTTTCAGCTGCAGTAAATGCATCCATTTGGGCTTGTTTATTCATATTAAATGACAAAGTTTAGATGTCGGCTTCACATTTTAAATGGGGTGATCTATTTGTTACATACCAATCTTTAACTCGTATTATAATTACTATCCAACTTAGAGTATCCGTGTTGAAATACAGCGCATATATACAGTACAGTCATTTGCCGGTCAGCAAACCATGACAACTATAAAAAACATGTGGTTAAAGCAGCCACAAGGGACCACTTTAGGAAATTTGGGGCAAATAGCCAAGACTGTGGAGCAAAATATGCCCATTGCATGCCTTGTGGCATCATAATTTGTCTTATGGCAAGACTCGATGCATTAAAACACAAAATGGCTAACTCTGGTTACCAATCATGTGTTGAAAGCAGGTAAGGTCAACAATTACTTGGTCCACAGGAGATTTACTGGCTTCTTCCTGCTCCCACCAAAACAAAAATTCAGTACCTTTTGCATGGTCTGCTGGCAGACAGGGTCATCAAATAGGGGTTTGGCATGTGCGATTAGACAATGTCAGGCAGGAGTGAAAAATTCAAATAAAATGTGGGGAAAAGGAGTGAAAAATTCCTCCTCATAGGGTGTTGCTTTACACCCAAAGTCGGCAATTCTAGGACACTGGTCAGGCATAACGCTCACACATGTAAACGATTTTAAGCTAGTACACATCACACATAAGGACACATATCTCATTCGCATCATCGGCCATGGTGAGCACTGTACGTTAGCTGTACGTACTACACGTCTCCCTGTATTTCTCCAAGGAATGAGGATATTACTATTGTCTTATCTATGTGAATAATATTCCTCGCAAATGCGCTCAACGACTGACCATTACCTTGCGCAAAGGCCGCGCTTGGCCCGGCCATGCGTGCGTGCGTGCGTGCGTGCGTGCGTGCGTGCGTGCGTGCGTGCGTGCGTGCGTGCGTGCGTGCGTGCGTGCGTGCGTGCGTGCGTGCGTGCGTGCGTGCGTGCGTGCGTGTGTGTGTGTGTGTGTGTGTGTGTGTGTGTGTGTGTGTGTGTGTGTGTGTGTGTGTGTGTGTGTCTGTCATTGGGCCTTCACGGCGCATCAAGCTGCTGAGGCTATATGGCGTCCTGTCGCTCACCCTGGCAGGGACGGCGGGCACCGCGGGGTATCGAACCCCGTTCCTTTGGTTTCCCAGACGTGAGATGGGTAACGCAGGCGCGTTAACTGCCACACCGTCGGCACCTAACCGTTTTCCGTGCCTCAGTCAGCTTTAAAGGGCAATAAGTTAGTTGGCTGTTTGCTAATCAGTCTGCCACCACTTTCCTCTCCCTGCAAATAACGCCAGCAGCAAAGCAATCACGCGACAGGCGTTTCCGTTAAAGCAGACCTGGGCTTATCCTGTGAACATTATCGATTTGCCTCATTGGAACTAAAAGCGCAGTGGTCAAGAAGACTGCCACAGTCGTGCAGCAGGGAAGGACAAAAACCAGCCATCTTACGGACGGGTTGCTGGATCATTGGACATATTTTTAGCACCGCCAGCGATGCACGAGACCTGATCGTCTAGTTGGAAAATGTCGAACGCCAGTCAATAGCACTGGTCGATTTGATTCGCGAACGTTAAGTTGGCATCTGACACGCGTCTGATGGCATCGCAGGCCAACTTGTACGAGTTCGGCTTCGTCGAAATGTGCTGACGAGTTTGGTACCGATGGAATAAATCTTCAAATTATTGCCCGGATCAGGCTTTGTTCCGTGTCGGAAACATGAATTAATTGTAATGCAACTCGAGGGCGAAGTCTAGGTCCGGGCCAGGTGATATATTGAATATTTATATTTGATCCATGTGCTTCTTATGACGCATGACCGCGTTCATCTCTGTGTGGTATATACCAACACATTTCCAACCCAATAGCTCCTGCAGGTCATGATTCGGCAAATGGCTTCGTCTTATCAAACAGCATTGTCAAATGGTCGCACGAGCTTGTGTTTAATTAAACCAGAAAAGGTCAGTTTTGATTGAGGATCCTTGCCAAAAACATCAAAGTCGCCAAGACTAGACGAATTAGTGCAAGCCGCCGTCTGGTTCTGAAAATATTTTCAAATGCGACAACTTACATCTGACGGTTACCGGAGAAATCTGGCACACCTCCCTGGAGCGACTCAGAAATTATTTCAGAAGTTTGGAGGATGACTCGGGCACAACTCGGACGGACGCGGGTGACTCGGACGCGACTCGGACGGACGCGGGTGACTCGGACGCGACTCGGACGGACGCGGGCGACTTGGACGGATGAAAATCCTTTAGTCATGCGGGCGGTCCCGGGGGATCGTATACCGCCGAGACGACCAATCTACAAAAACCTCGCGCAGTTGGCTCAGTCGGTCTTCTGGGAGTACTGGGCACAGAGCGCGCCCAGCGCCGTTGAGGACCGTACATCGGTCTTGGGGGAGTACTGGGCACAGAGCGCGGCCAGCGCCGTTGGGGACCTACGTCGGTCTTGCCAGAGTGCTGGACACCAGTGTCCTAGAATTGCCGACTTTGGGTGTAAAGCAACACCCTATGAGGAGGAATTTTTCACTCCTTTTCTCCATATTTTATGTGAATTTTTCACTCCTGCCTGACATTGTCTAATCGCACATGACAAACCCCTATTTCCCTTTCTGAAGATTTCAGCTGTCATCCAAAACCGACCTCACTTGAAACCACCAAGCATAAACGAGGCTCCGCAGAACCTGGACACCTATGGCTATGTCCTGCCTCACCTACATCTGAATCATGTCTATGTATGCACAGAGCAAGGACGCCAGGTACCTCCAAGCCCAAGAACCCCAACGACCTCAGCCGCTTGCACGCATTAAGTTTGGTTTGTTTACAAAATGCATCACAACCTGCAGCTGTGCGCCAAATACAAGGTTTTCGTGCATCCCCTACTTTTTTGGTCTCACCACCACAAACGGAAGCAGAGCCTGGTGCAAACACCAACAAGGCCTGGTAGAGAATTTTACTCCACGTATTTATTTCTTCCTAAGGAAACTTGACAACTAAATTGCATCACTCCCGAAATGCTGGAGTGAAAAGTTCAAGGAATGTCTTTTAAATTAAACTTACAAGATGAATATCACCATTTGAGCACTTATACTAACATGTTTTAAGTCAAATCAGCTGATTACAAAATTTTGCGAGAAAAGTACCGGTCTTTATATTTATTTAGCTACTTTTGTTTTTCTTGGCATCATATCGGTGTGATACCACATTAATCATCCCTTCTTTTCGATTGTCTTTAAAGATCACGTGCTTAAAGTTTTAACGGTAAGGTGCTTAACGTTTTGACCAATTTCTCTGCAAGATGCTCCAACTGCAAACTTGTACGTATTTCATACAAAAATTGGATTAATTCGCTAGCCGCCCAAACATGTTTGATATGCACCCAAGCGTGAACACTTAACAGGGAATGAAGGAGACAATTTGAAGCACGGAACTTATTTTTACCGCCATTTTTGCCCTCTTAAACCTTCGGTTAACCGTTTTCTTGGTTCATGGCGGTGCTCAATAATGATAAATCCAAGCCTTTCGAGTTTCTGACGCACTAGGCTACCTGGCAAGGCTATTATAATGCTGCCATACAGAGCCTTGGGACAGACCTGACGCAGCTAATACAGAAGTGTTTGATGGCGAAATTCTGCCCTCCGGAGATGTTTGTCATGCACACATCTTACTTGTTTCACATTTTGATCTCGAAGGTTGGTGGGCATGATTGATATTTACATTTGGGGAGTGAGTCGGATGACTCTGTCTGCCAACAGAACACGCAAAAGATACTGAATTTTTGTTTTGGGGGGAGCAGGAAGAAGTCAGCAAGTTTCCTGAGGACCAAGTATTTGCTGGCCTCCTTTCAACTCATGATTGATAACTAGGGTCAGCCATTTTCTGTTTTAATGCGTCGAGCTTTGCCATTAGACAAATTATGATGCCACAAGGCATGCAATGGGGTTATTTTGTTCCATAGCCTTGGTTATTTGCCCCAAAATTTCTTCATGTCGTCCCTCATGGCTGCTTTAACCAGATGTTTTCTATAGCTGTCATGGTTTGCTGACCGGCAAATGACTGCACTGTATATATGCACTATATTCTTAACACAGTGATACTCTAAGCTGCTTAGCAATCCTAAAGTGAGTTAAATATTGGTATGTAACAAATAGTCAGACCACTCGATTTAAAATGTGAAGCCAACATCTAAACTTTACCATTAAATATGACTAAACAAGCCCAAATGGATGCATTTGCTGCAGGTGATAGTTTCAGGTGAAAAGGCAAGCAGCAATACTGGCACGGTCATCTAAAAGCTGTATTATTCTTGGAGAAGAGAGTTGTTTTGTGGAACATGCCCATTATTGTCCTTGACATAGGTTAACCATGACAATCAAAATAAGTTGTTGAAAGTGATTTGTGTGTTGTCAACTTTGTCTGACGTCAACAAGCACACACAAATGAACTGGATAAAAATGCAAGCTAAAACCAGCCAAAAACTAGCTATAAATATCATGTTTTTATCACGAGTGATGCTGTCAACAGATAGGTGAGTTGAGATGATGTTCATCATATGGGCTACTCTAAGTTAGGTTAAGTTGGTCAAGTGCGTGGCAAGTGGCAGTAGGAATTGTGCAAGAACCAGTAACTCACAACTGCTGCTGTGATACAAACAGGTTGTGCAGGATGAGATGATGTGAGGCCTCTTTAGGTTAGGCATAGGCTACTTTCATGGAAATAAGGATTGGTATTTTGTAATAAACAGTGACAAAATGTTTCTTTTCCCTGACCCCATCTTAACAGAAGCCAGAAGTATATCTATTGTGTTGGACTTGGTGATGGGCTGATGTGTAGGAGTCCAACGTTTTTTTTTTGTTTTTTTTTTTGGGTGTTTTATGCTTGTTGAATTTTCTGTTATTTTGTTGTTGAATTCGTCTGCCTTGTTTTGTTTTAAAAGTGCTGTGGAAGGGAATCGAAACGTGCAGCATCAAATTAATGGTGTAAATAATTTGTCACGCTCATTATACTGTCATGAAATTACTATGCTTTAACACGCGCCCGGTCGGCCGGCTAGATACCCTTCGCTCGGTAAGAAAGCCAGAGGCACCAAATTTACAGGGCGTCTTGACCTATACGTGAACTCACTTAGGTTAAGGCTTCAGCTTCCTAGGTCATGACCTTCAGGTCAAATAAGGTCAGACAAGGTCAAATTCCTGGTTGGTCTCCAAAGCGCCCCCAGGACCTAGGCAACTGTCTCTAAGCAAAAGGTCACAAGCCCATTTGAGGTCATTGACCATGTCTGACCCTTTGAAGGTCATGGCGACCAAAATGATACAAGACTGCTCTACGTTTTGCATTTGAATAAGCGACAAAGATTACGCTAGACAGTATGTTCCTAAAACAAAACGTTCAACCCGGGTCATCTTAGGTCAATGGCCCGTCCTGACCTCTAAGAAGTCAACTGAGGATGCATAATGCGGTTCCTGCTGTCAGTAAATTCGAAATGAGCACAAGAAACTATCACCTACAGCAAGCCCTAGAGTAATAAATCGGGTTGGTTTTGACCTTTGTCTGACCATCATACCTGACCTTAGGTCAACGTAATTTGTTCACTCAATATTTGTGGTGCCTAAGAAAACATCTCAAAGATGTATGTCTTCGTCAAACACTCCGTTGTTGTATCAGATTGAACGATTCCCTAGAAATTGCCTTCGCTGAAACCATGGGCTGATTTTGACGTGTCATAGGTCAGCGACCTTGTAAGGTACTTGTAAAATTTGTATGTCAAACGATCCGCCATACAATTTTATACAGCTATGCAAAATTTGGCGCGGCTACGCCGCGCCGTTCAGAAACCATTCGGGAAAAGCCCTCGGGGGGTCAATTTGCCCCCCCCCTCACTCTCGAGCGCGTGTTTATGTATTCTGTTTCGCTTCCATGGCCTAAGATGTTAAAAAGCGAAGTAGTTTTGTCAGGTTCCTGATGTTACGTCCATGCCAACTTGAAATGGATGTTTTTGTTTGTTGAAGCATCAGTCACGAGCTCATACGTTCCATTTTTTTTTTGTGAATTGATTTTTTCACTCCCGCACGGTCTTTTTGCGATTGAGTTTTTCACTCCCACCCTAGTTCAAAAGCGATTCTAGCTCCCTGCTGGGCACAGAGCGCGCCCGGCGCCTCTCAGGACCGTACCGTGGGTGGGCACGAAGGCGGCCGGTGAGGCCTGGTAGCTGTCGCTCTTGTTGGTCCAGAAACGATCCCAGGTGGCGGCCGCCGGCAGTTCGGACAACGCTCCAGACGGCGGCAGCACTGGGCTGGCGGCGGCGGCCACCGCGGCCGCGTCCCAAACCACAACCCGCACCTCTCTGGCGGGCAGGAGCGGGCCTCAGGTGCACGCAGACGCGAGGCAATTGTTCGATTCCGCTGTGGCACAAACCGCATCGCAACTGCAGTGCAGGGTGGGACAGGCTTAGCACGGTCAGGGCGGCGGGGCTTGTTGGACATTTAGCCAACTTACTATCACACCAGTAACACACTAGCTATAAAGCAAGTGTTTCCGTGTCACATGCGAAAAGCCGTCAGCGATGAGGGCGTATCCACTGTGTTATAGGGCAAATTATATGACTAGATAATCAGATACAGGCCACGATGATAACCTTCAGGGGGCGTTGCAAGAGCATGCCTATCGCCCGCTATCTTGGTCCCAACAGTCCAGTAACAAAATCACGTGACTGACTTCGAGCCAACTAAGTTCACATCGAAATCGTCTCACATCGTGCGGCGCACTTGGTACGTCTGCGACAACTAACCTGAGCACGCCCGAGCCCTGGTCGTAGAGGTCACGAGGCAGACGCAGCCCGAACTGGCGGGACAGGTCGATGCCAGGCGGCTGCGCGGATGGTGTCATCACAAACTGCTCCTGGTCTTCAGTCGGCGGCCGGGGCACTGCAGCACGGCAATGGCCCGTCAGCGTCGGAAGCTGGCTTGGAGAAGCTCAATGCGCTTTCCACGAATAAATGTTCATCGCGATACGCTTCAAGTGCAAACGAAATATGCACACACACTAGCATTCCGCAGCAGGCAGATATGCCAGGTGAAACGAGCCCGACTCTCATTGATTTACGAATTAAACGTATACTAGCCGAACATGCATGCAGTCCATACCGTCGGAAGTGCGCTCTTTCTCAGACTGGTGCTGGCCAGCAGTAAGCGCCTTAACAGATCTCTATATAACATGCTTTTATGACGGGGCAGGGTGCACCTTTTCGTCTGACGTCCTTTCTGCTCAGGTAACTACTGTCAACGTCGAAGCTTTAGTTTTTACGTGCTTTTTTGGTTTTTCCTTGCTGACTCAGATCTGAACACGATCTAAGTGCGCACGTGATGATGCACAGTAGCATGTTTCCGGTGGGTGTGGTTAAATGTGAATGCGCCGCACGTGTTCAAGAGAGCGTCTCAGTCTTTGGATCTTTCATGGAATGGGTGAGAATACGGTGTGTAAGAGATGGGAAAGCGAGGGCTGCAAACTTGGGTGCATCTCGACAACCTGTCATGGGAGCGACCCAAAATTAGCACACCTGACAAGGAAATTCATTAAGTGAGTGTACTGTAACAAGTTTGTGGTTGTACGTGCCACATGTCACGTACACATAAGCGTTCAGGACACACTTGCAGATCTCTGACGATTTGTCACATTTAATATCAGACCCCGGCAGCCAGCAGATGAAGGCGAGAGCTGATCTCCGAAGGATGAGCAAATGTAGCGCCCACACCTCATGTAGCCAACTAAACGTTGTGCGATCCACTGTCGTGGCGTTATTTGATGGGCACGCCACGAACGTCGGCATTCCGAGAGCTGCAGTCGAGCACAACAGGCTTTCATCAAGAATGGTATCAACCGCGGGCGAAATGGAAAGTCAGCAAATACAGCCCGCTGGACGTCTGCGCACACTGGACATTGCAGACGTCAGGTCAGAGTACGCGGTGACAGCACGTGCCCTATGCTGGCCGTCACAGCGTGTTCAGCTGCGTGCCGTTAGCAACCATACCTACAGAATGTCATCGTGCATGCGTACTTTGTCAAAGTTCCATGCGCCTGAGTGTAATGCATCTGTCTATATGCGTCGCTGAAATGTGTGCAATTATTTATTGCTCACCCTTTATGGATACAAGTCTTGTTTTGACTAAAGCTTTAGTCATAAATTTAAGGTGTAGCTTTTCAGCTGATGGCATTGAAGTTAGGTCTGTGTAGTCCATCCCAGCACAAAGCTTTGAACACGGGGAAGGGGTCAACGGCGACAATTGGTCCATCTTCGCGCGAGTTGCATAACCCCATGCTACCATCTGAAAATCGAGCCTGCGGATATAATTGCAGCTCCCTCACCCGCTCTGACAGTCATGCGATCTTTCCCCTGACGCATCACCACAACGACCTGTCGACTGCAGCCGGCTACTGTAGCGGCAAAGAGTCGGATGGGAAAAGTAATATTAAATGTATCTCCAACTAATGCAAACAAAACCTGTTCACGCCATGCAGCAGTCCGTTTTACCAGTGCCTTTTAAGCTTTCAGCTTCGTCGCTTAACGAAGCAAGCACACTATAGCTTATCTTCACTTTTTAGCCATAATGCAACAGCCTTCATTTGTTTGTCGCCTGCCCTTGCATGTATCGCTTTACGCATGTTTTTTGCTCGGAATGAGTCAAATCAGGTCAGGCCACGCCAGATCAGGTCAAGTCAGGCCAGGTTATGCCAGAGCAGGTTAGGTCAGGTCAGGTCAGATCAGATCAGGCCAGGTCAGGCCACATCAGATCGTGTTAGGCCACGCTAGATGAAAGTGCCAGTCCACCCCCCAAGTAAGGCAAGGCTATCCTGCCGGAATTATATGCGGTGTCCAAGTTGCGGGTGACGGGCGGCGGAGCATCACAGACAATGAACGCACCCGTCCTAATTCTTAAGTCGATTTTGTCCATGCGCCACAAAAGGGTTGATGGTGTCATTCTATCATTGTTGTATCCACTATCACTGTTGTATAGTGGGTGTGCCATGCACTCAGTGGGTTACCCAGAATGTTGCGCATTTGCTGCTCGGCGTCGCAGGTCAGACACTGCGTTGTAGACTGACGCCCATTCTATTAAGCTGCATGGTTCTTCTCCGGTGTGCACTTAATGAGTCGAGCAGACGCGCTTACACCAGCCGGCCGTCGAAGCATTTTCTCGGTAACCGTTTTATTGGCTTTCAATATTTTTTTAAAGTCAAGATAAGCGCGTCGCAGATCAGACGCAGCGTTATAGACTGCTATATATTCCATTTAGTTCCCTCATCCCTTTTCGGCTTGGTATTAGCTAGTTGAGCTCACGCCCTGTCAGCCGGCCGCCCACGCTTTTTCGAATCTCCCATTTCATGGCTTTTAAATGCTGTTCTTGTCAAGCCGCGAAATGGCGTATTGATGCTGCCTGCCGCAACAAAAAAGGCGTATTGATGCTGCCTGCCGCAACAAAAAAGCGATTTACATTCAAACCACTTGGGCAGGGATGCGAAATCGACGCAATCGTCAGGTTGCGTCGGATCCACGAGTGGCATAGGTAGTCAAGCTCGTACCTAGGCTGCATTAGATTCCAGGGCACTAGAAATGTACCAGCTGGTGAACCGAGGGTGTCTGGTCGCCAAGCATTTGGGATGTATCGGCACAAGCCACAAGCACCTGGCCCACCTGTGCCCGGTTCACGGACAACGGCTGGCGATAGCCCACCATCTGGACTCAGGCGCCTAACCGAGAGATGCTGATCATTGTGCCGGCCCAACCAGGGCGCCCTGTTCTCAGGCGAGATCGTGATACGCGCGAGAGCTGTACCGCCAGCACGGCGATCACCTCTCGGCGGCGTCGTGCAGCCGCTCTCGATGTGAGGTCCCACCGGCGGCGAGGCGTACGCAGACTCGGCGGCGATCTTCACCACGAACGGGACTTCACCGGCCAAACCGGTCCAGTTGGTCCTGCACTGATGTCTGTCACAATGACTGGGGAGATGAGAGACACTCCTTTACAGCAGGCTGGTGGGATGGGCAACGGCGTATTTCTGAAATACAGGTCGGCGATTACGTGGACATAATGTGCGAAATAACTCACTCTAGGGTCATGTGCATGACTAATGACAACTTTCAAAATTATGTTTCAGCGGTGAACATTGAATGGTCCAATGCAATTCGTTCAAGTGAGGAAAGACCTCACTCAGCTATCCTCTTGATTCTCGACTACAGCTTCTGAGCTATTTGAAACGAATATGTAAACTTAGTGACTACTCAATTAAAGCTGCCTAGTCAATCACATCGGGAATGTCTAGTAATTTTACCAAGAAATACCTTGAGCTCCTGGTCATGTTTAGTGAGACATGTTCGAATAATTCTAGCCGTTGGATCGTCGGATGGGAAGGGACAGTCCCCCCATCCTAACAGCCTTCGTGCTGCAGAAAATATATTCTTAGCACATATTTTTACTGCGGGACTTCTTTTTCCAATGCCTGCCTAGTGAAGCTACGTCACTTTGATAGGACAACATTGCTGTAACTTGTAGTGCGATGCAACATGGACTTGAAAACGCCGTTTGTCGATATTCCCCAACATCATCCGAGCACATTCAATGTCTTCCGTGCCTCGAGTTCAAAGCCCGAATAGGAGACGATTGGATCATCCCGTGTCCGCAGCGCAACGAGTCATTTTCTAAGATAAAAGGAAAAACTGATATCGAATTGCAATATACGTATTACAATGAATTTGGGAGTGGCCCGCCTCTGGGGCATATTTCAAAAACATTATCTGAGACAGCGGGATGCAAGGACTAGTTACCAAGAGCCGCATTAGCTGAAATTTGAACCAGTGCGTAACTATGTATCGTGTCACACTTCCATTCCCAGAGGCAACGTGCGCCTTAAAAAGAGCCACTGTGGTACGCCATAGGGGAGAAATCAAAGCCGCAGTATAACGTTCGGTTGAATTCGCGGGATAACAGCTCCATGCTTGATAACAGCTTCATGCTTGATAACAGCTTCATGCTTGATAACAGCTCCATGCTTGATAACAGCCTCATGCTTGCTTGTTTTTACGTAAACAGAATGCTTTAAGCTTTCGTAGCATTTCTTTCACAAGCATTTTGATAAATTAGTGTGTTGCAGTAGCGCAGGCCGGAGAGGGCGCTTGGGCACGTGCCCCGCTTTCCTTAGGCTCCGAGGGATCTTTCGGACCCCTCGGGACCTAAGATTTAGGACCCGATTTAAGGGGCCGAAGGGCCCGAAAGGTGGAGGTACATTCTGGGCCTCCGGTCCGCAATGTCGGGCACCCCAGTACCAGCTTGAGGGCCCTGCTCGCGGATCAGCGGTCCCCTGAGTCGATAAGGGCTATATGTCGGTCAGATGCCACTAATAACGCACAGTTGGTTCTGTGGCGGCATGGGCCTGAGGGCCCATTTTCCTATCACGAGCAAAGCCGGAGCCAGCGACCTACAGTAGTCGGGACTCTTGTGTCCCTCAGGGCCCACAGCTTTAACAGGAGCTCTGCGTTGGCAGGGGTCCCGAGTCGGTCAGAGGCCATGTTCGAGGTCTGAAGAGCCTGGAGGGCCCACCGGGTCCGATGGTCAAGGGTCTGATTGGAGGCTAAGGGCACAAAGGGCTGGACGGAGTCTTATTCAGGGGCCCAGCCCGCAAGGCCAGGCACATTAATGTCAGCCAGAGGGTCGTGGGCGCTGATCAGGGGCCCCCTGAGTTGATAAGGGCCTATATGTCGGTAAGATACCACCAGTAATGCACAATGGGCTCCGTGGCCGCATGGACCTGAGGGCCCATTTTCTAATTAGCTACAAAGCTGGGGCCAGCGATTTACGCTTGTCGGGGCCCGTGCATCTGTAAGGGGTCTACAGTGCCAAACAGAGGGTCCTGCATTCGCAAGGGGCTCGAGCCTGCCAAGAGCAGTGTTCGATGAGGCAAGGAGAGGGAACTGCGAGATGCATCGGAACTGACGATCAAGGACATGGCTGGAGGGCATAAGGGCGCGAAGGATTGGCTGCAGGTGACATTAAGAATTGCGGCCCGTAGGGTTGTGACAAGAAATATCAGTCAAAAGTCCATTGAGCCGTCTGAAGACCCCTCAAACGATGCGGGTGTCTGAGTCGGCCATAGACCACGGACACAACAGTTGGCTCCCTGTTCTGAACTCTTGGAGCCCATTACCCAAGCAGGAGCAAGACTAGGGGTCGCGACTTCCATTGTTCAAAGCCTGCTGTTGCTGCAACAATGCGAGGCTCCTGTATTGGTCATGGTGCTTAACAAGATGAGCTGTGCCAACAAAGGGCCTCGAATTAAGCAGGACAACATAGTCAACAGGGACCGGGACGGGACCCCAACAAAAACTGAGGGAAAACTCATGATGGGTGTTCACATTAGCACAGTGGGAGGGTCCTGTGACAGTCAGGGGCTCCAGCACAGAATGATGGGCCCTCCAACCCAGTTCCAGCATGGGCCCGTTAAACGTAATTGAGGGCTATGGGACAATTATTGGACTACCTGCGCCAATCAAGGATGTTGCATCAATGAGGGTTCCTGCGTATATCTGGGTCCAATTCTGCGAGTTAGAAGGCCCCCCGTGTCAGGTAGGGGAACAATGTGATAATGTTCCTCCAAAGGCCTCCGGGAACGACCAGGAGATCACGCCTGTGTCACCCGATGGCACGGGCGTTAACCTCGCATTGGCAGACCCCGCGTCGGGACGAATGGCCCTGAAGTCCTTGACCGCGGACAGTAATGTGTATCTAGCGTTCTACTCAAGGGGACTCTTGCCCGGCAAAAAAATCAGGAGTCTTATCAGTGTGGGATAGAGTGAGTCCAAATACATTCAGAACCGAAGAAGGCCATGTCATGTTTGTATGCGACATTCATTCTTTTGCAGAATCGATTTGTGAAACAAATTGCATCAAAACGTTTGAACGTGCGCGCCCGCGGCCTAGGAAGCAAAGACAGCGATGGCCTAGGTTGCAGCTTCGGCAAAACCGAATGGTGTAGGTCACTGCAAGTGATACCTAGGCGGGGGCGTCGTGAGCGCCAAAACCACCACCACGAAATGATGGTTCCGAATGCCTTTGAAAGTTAATTCATACCGTTCTCAGATTTGACTGGGCAAATCTAGTCTTTACATCTTTGAGATCGCTCTCTGGACAGATTAACAGTAATGGCAACACGAAAAATAGGGATTCTACGTTTGCTCTTGCAGAATCACCATCAGATTGCAGACCACTTTGCGGTGCTGCAAATGTCAATCACTCTCAAAACCGCACAGGGGAAATACATGCCTGGGCTACCTTCTGAATGTAACACTTGACGTCCTAAAGCGTTTGAAGGTCCTGTCAGGATCTTCATTCTTTTCACAGAGGCGTTGACCTTGACTACCATGTCAACCGCCGGGCCAACATCGAGCGGGCGACCTATGGAGCTTGCAGCGCTTGGCGTCAAGGTTTTTTTCCTTATGATTTGTGAACGTGCAGGTTCAAAACAACGTCGCGTAATTTGTATCACTGATCGATTCTGATTGGATATTGAACAGTTCCAGGCCAGCATGGCTTGGCCACGTTAACACAAATTATTGGCCAATTTCGATCTACGATTTACATTCGCGGGCTCCTAATATGTCTGAGGAGCACAAATGCAAAGACTGACAAAGTTTCTGAGTTCTATCGGATTAGAAAGAGTTCACTTGACCATTGCAAAATGAAGAACGCCGGTGATTAATTTCATGCAGTCGCTAAAATCTTGATTTCTTCAGTTTATGGACTATCAAATTTGGGTAGAATCGATCTCGCGATAGCTTTTGGCTGCTATTCCAGTTAAAGAAAACAATATTCTGAAATGTCAAAAAAGAACATGCCTTTACTAAGAAATGTGCCATTTCCGGCGCTTTTGGGGGGCCGTTTCGCCACCAGGGGCCGTTTATCAACCCTCTGCTCCTCTTGCCCAGGCTCTGGCCGCGCGCTCGATGTGTTACAAATACTACAGAACATACACGTTGCTGAAAAGAAGGCAAATTACTTGTACTTCTTTCATAATGGTGAGCATGGAGTCCAATGAGATTTCTCCCACAGGGGCGGCTTCCTCAAACCGAAATTCTAAGGTATTCGGAAGGATGTCGAGAAAACTGATATTCCGATCAAGTGGCGCGTGTCTGATCGATCAACAAGCGAACGAACAAAAATGTGGCATGCTTCCTTGAAGTGATTAAATATAATAATTTGAACGGGCAATGAATTGAATAAGCAATCGTAACAAATGATTGCTTCCTGAACGTTTATTACTTGATCTAACCTGTTTATGACCTGACATGCAACGACGTTCAAAATTGCCGACAATATGTAAAACGTATTCAAGGAAACTCTGGTATGTATAAAAGGAAGGAACCGAGGGGAACATGGCCCCTGAGTCAAAGGCTTACGCTAGGTTCTGAAAATGCTATAGGTACTGAGGTGTTTGCAGGAATTTATGTCAAATCTGCAGGATTTCTGAGGAAATTTCACATCTGGCTTCATGAGGAAAAATTTTGACCACGTACCTGAGTCAATGGTGATGAACATGCTGCAGGCATTGCGTAGTTACATTTTCACGGTGCAGCGCTGCATGATCTTCAAGGCGAAATATTTTTTTTTCCCAGGCAACGCACACAGGTTCAACATCAAGCTTTCAGACAGGCGTGGTCTCAGCCCCAGCCCCATTCTCGGCTCCCGCGCCCCGTGCCTTACGGTGGTGCAGCGCACGGTGCATGAAACATTTGCATAGCTATGACTAATTACGAGAACACCAGTTATCGAACGCACAGTTTCACACCCATTTTTATTCAAGTGTGCTTTCGATCGTTTTACGACGTCGCCCCCCTCCCTATCAAAAGATAATGGCCCCGCCCCCCGCATCATACCATTCCATGGCATGCACGAAGCATTTTTGCATCGCTCCAGTGACCACCAAGGGGCTTTTATTTTATATATAAATACGTTAGTTGCACAAGCCACTCCACTTGACTGCGAATACAGAGATGGCAAATATCGACGAAACGGATTCGATAGCAGTTGGGTTATAATTACCAAATATCCGAAACCAGCTGTCTTAAAGGAGGCAACAGCTCTTAGAAAACACCCATTGGAGAAAAAAAAACATTTCGAAAACGCCTCAGCACTTACGCGATGCTTCAATGTCATATGTTGCTTGCCATTTCGGGTTCATAAACTTTTAAGAAAATGCCTTTTACCTCGCTTCTCCATATACCTATTGAAAGGTGCATACCTCGTCGTCAAAGCGTGTTGGGTGACGATCTCAGGTTGGCCACCAGTGTCGTTGCGCAGCACCGTGACGTGGTAGGCCTTGGTGGGCACCTCCAGAGGACGGGCCGCCGTCCAGCGCGCCGCCAGCCGCTGCTGGTCACAGGTGACGCGCAGGTCGCTGACCCGCGCCACGTGTGCCGCCGCTCGACAGCCGGCCAGCGCCGGCGCGCCCAGCTGATGCTGGTACCGCGACAGCGCCTGAACGGCCACGCGGCACACGCTGCCGGGGAGCACCGGCGGCAGCTGCGCCTGGCGGTGACATGTGCAGTTGTAGTAGTAGGTCCGCCGCCCCATGAAGTTGAACTGCCTGACGGGGTAGTTGCAGACGCGCTCGCAGGCTTGGCACTGGTCGGTGCTCAGTGATGATATGCAAGGGCACCGGGAGTGGCGGCAGCTGAAGCGACGGCCCACCGTCTCGCCCGTACTCGGCTGCCGGCACTGGTAGCGGCCCCGGTAACCCACGATGCCGAATGCGTGCTCGCTGGGGTTGGTCCAGCTGAAGGAGAACTTCAGCGCTACTGAGCAGTCCGCCGCCAGGGCGCGCACCTCGCCCGGGGCTGCAGCAGGACAGAGCGCTTGTTACGCAACAAATGACAGGGCACGCTAGAAGGGACGCCATAAAAAACTGGACATGACGCAGGACAGTTGTAATGACAAGAGACTGCTGCAAACAGCACAGCTGCAACACAACTGACGGAATGCAAAAGAGAACGCCTGCCGCTGAACAGTACACCCAGCAGAATCGCGGAAAAAATGCTGCAGAACAGCACAGCATCAGCGGACCGGGCACCAACTAGTATAGGGCATGTATCGTGGTGCACTGCCGTATAGCATCGGAGCACTGCGGTACAGCATGCGGCAGACGCCCGAGGAACTCAACGGCGCAACATCCCGCAGGCGCCAGAAACGTACAAAGCGCCGTCTCCCGCGGTCAGTTGTTCCGACAACGGCACTGACCAGGTAACGGACAAAAAAGCTGAATACACATGGTTGCAAAGTCCAGAATTAGTTCCAAACTTTCCTTCGATTCCAGCCGGGTGAGACAACACAATGACACATCTGGCCTGCCCAGAGTTGAAAGCCGAAGTAAGCCGAAGTAAGCCGTTCCCAAGCGGTGTCGCAAGAAAATATTCAACCAAATGAAAAGTTTTGAAAAAATGACATAGAAGAAGCATTTGAAGGTACAACAAGAAATGAGCTAAAAATGGAAGTAACATGATGCAACGCATAATATAATCAGAAAGGCTGCCCTGACCAAAACATTATTTTTGACTATGTGTGGTGCCAGATGTATTGCATCTGAAAAACATTCCAGGATAACGAAACGACGGATTTACATGCGATGAGTTGATAAGTTCCCCTTAAGGTTGAGTCACATTACTGGTCGTGGAAACATTTCCGGTTTTATATATTTTCCTTAATGCGCATTACTACGGTGCGTATTCATTTCCACGCATGCACCACGCGCGTGCGCACAATTCTCGGAAGCACCGGCTTGACTGCCTGAGCACAGACCATTAGCAATTAGTTTTGAAAGTGACGTCTTTCAATGGTGCACCACGACATCATAAGCAAGTCAAAGGACTCTAAAGCACGCCATTACGCACGGCTCAGGTGTTCGAAGGCGATGCTTTGTGTCTAATTACGAGATAAAAGGTGCCTGTCTTTGTTGTCGGTCAGTGCCAGCTCCTCGGTCGATGGCAGGCGACAGGCGAGGCACGGCCGCTCGGCGAACACCTTGTTAGGCGGCCATCAGACCCAACCCTCTGACAGGCCCCAATCAGGCCCGGCTGAACTGCAGGCGCATCACCACTCACCTGCCGCCCCGTTAAACGCAGCACCACTCACCTGCCGCCCCGTTAAACGCAGCACCACTCACCTGCCGCCCCGTTAAACGCCGCTCCGAGAGGCGCGCCACGGTTCGCCGCACCCATAGCGAGGGAGCGCAAGGGAAGACAGTGCGGCACCGCCAGCGGCAATCAGCTCCCCCTTACCCCGGCTGCACAGCCGCTATAGCCGGCAACCGTGTCACCGTCTGCCGGCATGTGAGAGGTCAACTCACGAGGCACGGTCATGATGAAGCCGACCGGGTCGCTGGGCGCGCGCCCGCGCCGTCCCAGAGCGGTGTTCTCCGACATCGCCACGATGTGTACCCGGTAGTCGAAGCCGGGCGTCCACTGACCGTCGAACACTGAGAAGCTGATGTTTCGCTGGCCTGCCAAGACGCAGCACGGTCAGCTGCCGTCAGCTACCGTCAGCTACCGGAGCGCTGGCTAGGCGACAGCCAGCCGGGCTCCAATTTGCTTGCCTGTCTGAGGATGAGTGGTTACGTTTCCCCACTCCTCGCATCGGTGAGCTTGAGTTCTGAAAGACCAACAAGGCACTTGCGATAAAGGACGCTCTTTTTAAGATGGCAGCCTTATGTTTCACTTAGAGTGGCGGCGGATTTGAGAAAATGGCGGTAACCCCTCGGTTCGTCAAATTTAAGATTAGCATAAGAGAATCGAATCAAAAGGAGCAGGTTACAATTTGCTA